CATAAACATTTACAGAGATTTTGGGTTTCCATTCATTCATTGTTGCACTATTCTCTCTACCCTCCTCCCAGTTTGTTCTTGTCCAAATGCCACACTGCTTGTCAAAGCCAGTTCTGATTAATCTTCTTTGTCAGTGTGTCCTTTGCCATTCCCTATCAAATTATTATTCACCATGTTTTTCTTTTCCTAGGCCCACCATTTAATGTTCCAGATACTGAAGTTAAAAAATTGTTTGGTAAGTTATGAACTTAGACTAGAACTCTTTTTAAAATAAAGTCAACTTTTAAAGTGAAGTTAAATATTTTGAAATGTTACCTATTTTATCTAAAAGCACATAGAATTAGAAAGTTAGAAGATACTTAATGGCTTATTTTATCCCAGAAAAGGGATTAATCTCAAAAATACTCCTTTTAGCTTTATGATAAAGACATTTCAGCTTTTCTAGAGAAGGGTTCCAAGGGAAAAATCTTAAATGATACAGGAAGCATCAAGAGTAGATGGAAGGAATACACATAGTGACTGTACTTAAAAGTGTTGGTCAACGCAGAAACTTTTCAGAAAATAGTACATCGTCAAGAATCAAGGATAACAAAGAAAGCTGCACTATAAGCATTAGTGGGGAATATTAAGACCCTCGGAATTGATAGAATGCCAACTGACACGGTTCAACAAACAGATACTACCTTAGACATGCTCACTACTCCATGCCAGAAATTTGGAATACAGCTATCTGGCCAATTGATTGGAAGAAATCCCCATTTGTTCTCATTTCAATAAAAAGTGATTTAACAGAATGTGGAAATTGTTGAAGAATATCATATGAGTCCTGTTGAAAATTACAAAGAAAAAAAAAGTGGATGGAATAGTACATTGATAGAGAACTGCTAGAAATTCAAGCTGGATTAAGAAGAAGCCATAGCATAAGAGATATCATTGCTAATGTCAGATGAGTCTTGGCAGAAAAGAGAAAGCACCAGAAGGATGTTTATTTGTGTTTTATTGACTATGCAAAGGCATCTGACTGTGTGGATCATAATGAACTCTGGCAAACATTGAGAAGAGTAGGAATCCCAGAACACTTAATTCTTCTCATGCTCAAGCTATACCTAAACCAAAAGGCTGTTGGCCTAACACAACAACGGAACACTGTGTGGTCTAAAATAAGAAAGGTGTGCATTAGGGCTGTATTCTTTCTCCATACCTACCTATTCAATCTGTATGTGGAGCAAATAATTTGAGAAACTGGACTAAGTGAAGATGAATATGTCATATTCATCAGCTTTGGAGGAAGACTCATCAACAACCTAACCTGTATTATGCAGATGACACATCCTTGCTTGCCAAAAGTGAAGAATAATTGAAACACTTGCTACAAGAGAATAAAAACTACAACTTTCAATATGGGTTAAGCCTCAACATCAAGGAAACAAAAATCCTTGCCACTAGACCATTTAGGCAACATCATGATAGATCAAGAAAAGATTTAAGTTGTCAGTCATTTCACTTTACATGGATTCACAGTCAACACTCAAGGTAACAGCAGTCAAGAAGTCAAAAGAAGTGTTGCTTTGGGAGACTCTGCTGTCAAGCACCTCTCCAAAGTGTTAAAGAGCAGTGATGTCGGTTTAAAGACTTAGGTGTACCTGATCCAAACCATGGTCTGTGCATCTGAAAGTTGGACAATGAATAAAGATGACAGAAGAAGAAACAATGCCTTTGAACTGTGGTGTTGGAGAAGAATATGGAAAACCCATGGACTGCCAAAAGAACAAACAAGTCTGTTTTGGAGAAAGTACAATCAGAGTGCTCCTTAGAGGCAAGGATAGTGAAACTTAGGACATCTTGTAAAGAGGGGCAGTGCATGGAAAAAGAAATCATCCTGGGAAAGGCAGAGAGTCAGCAAAAGAGAGGAAGACCCTCAACAAGATAATGGCACAGTGACGGCAACAGTGGGCTCAAGTACATTGAAGTATGTGATGAGGATGGCACACAGGTTCAGATCTATTATTTATGGGATCATTCTAATAGACTAGTGGTAACAAGTTATGCTCCAATCCCAAAGGCACATAGTTCAAATCTACCAGCTACTCTGTGGAGAAGGATGGACATTCTCCTTCTGTACAGCTTACTGCAAATATACAGCTAAAGAACTTAATTTAAAAAGAAAATATACTATCCTATTAGGAAGCTCTGGTGGCTTAGTGGTAAGGAGTTAACACTGCCAACCCAAAGGCATGTGGCTCAAATCTACGAGCTGATTTGAGGGGGAAAGTTGGACAATCTTCTGTATGATCTGCTGCCTCTGAAACCCCACTAGAGGGTGAGCTGTGGGTCACTTACAACTGGACAGCACACAACAGCAACATGAATCAGAGTCAACGAGATGGCACTTAGCAACAACAGAGGGGTGGTGTACTGATTTTTGCTTGTGGGAGTTCTACAGAAAATGTGGCCTTAGCATTTTACACTTTTCATTAAAACACAAGGAAAAAGTATTAAGTATGATATTTCTAAGAGAATTTGTAGTGTTTTTGGTAAACTTTTGGTTTTTATTTAAATTTTATTGAGACTTAAATTAAGAGTTACCATATGATCAATTACTGTAAAATTATGAATTGCTTATATATTAACATTAATTTTATTAATATTCTTGTTCAGATTTTACTTATCTATTTTTAAAATAATAAAATCATGATTTATTACTAATGAATAAGAGTTGTTATATGT